CGGGATTCGGACAATAACTCTGAAAGATATTACAGTGACCTTTATTGAAGACACACTATATATACTCATGGACAAAACTTAAGGAATTTTTACCTTTTGCCATGTATATCGGGATTCAGACAATAACTCTGAAAGATATTTGACACACATTTTCTGATAAATATATATTATCCAAGTGTATGAGACCATTCCTTTCCCAATCTATCAAGTCAATCTCAAACACTCGTGAACTAACAGTGGCTATATAAAAAAAAAGAAATAAAAAAAAGACAAAAGATTCAACCTGTTTATCAAAGCTATTGTGTTGTACGCATGCGTGGAATTTCAAAGTACTTCCGGTGTCGGGTGCAAAAGGTTCATTGTTTTACCTACAAATGTGGGGCTCTGTTTGACGTGACAATAGACGCTGGTTCGCTTCCCGGCATAGCTATCTTTTTTTTTTTTTTCTTCCTTCTGTCTTCTAACAGATATGGTGAGGCAAACCCATCATCAAGGGTGTTGTTGGATGTGACAAGACTTTTTTTAACTCTTTTTTTTTTTTTTTAATATTTAAATCTTTTTTTTTGTTTGTGTTTTATTTCTTTATTTTAAAACACAATGGGAGGTCTGTGGATGAGTGATATCAACCCTCGATTTCCAACAACCACGAACCCGGGGATCGAATCCCTCATTAGATACTTTTTTTCTGAAAAAAAATTGTTTTAAACATCCCCCCGATTCCTCAATAAGTCCAACCTCACAAGTTCTCTGTTGTTATTATTATTATCCCTGTGAAAAAATAGTACAAATGTAATATTTGTACTGGGATAAGGTGCATAAATTAAGAAAAAGTCATCTATTTATCGTGCAACTGAAAGTTGCTGATGGCTTGCGCCATCTATCGGAATAAATATCAACTATTCTCGTTGATTTTTTAATTATTCCAGAATTGGCCAAATACCCATTCTTGATTAATCAAGAAAAGCTAACCACGGACGCGTTTAAAATAATAAATTATTATCCCTATTACACGTGGTACAGGACATGATAATCATGGTGGGTAGAAGTTAACGACTACTTTTACAATAAGTGTACCACATATCTACACATGTGAAAAACTCAGTTCGAATTTTGCACTTACAAATGTACTAGAGTCCCGTTTGGTTACTTGCACTCACTGGTGGAGTTGTACTTTTGTAAGAATAGGGAGTCATTAGAGCATTTTTTATAATTAGGAAAAAAGTGCCCAATGTGAGATTTGATCCTGGGTCGTAGTGGTCGAAAACCAACAGTTTAGATCATTCGTTTACTGACCCTCCCGTAACCTCACCAGTGAGTACAAGTAACCAAACGGGGCTCTGGCACACTTGTAAGTGCGACTGTCGAACTGCGCTTTCTACATATATAGACACTAGACGGGTGACCCGGGCTTCGCCCCGGGATTGACCCGTGTGCATATCTACCCGAGTGATATATATTTAGATAAGATATTTTAAAAATAATTGTTCGTTATTAGCATTATCTATTTGTTTGCATCAGCATAATGTATGTATACATAAAGTATACATATATACACCTTAATAGTACAAAAGCTACATACCTATACTTTCGATATTTGCGGACCTATAATGAGGTATTGTTAACAATTGATTATTTAGGGAGCGACCCGCTCCAACACAATAGTTACAAAAACAACAGAGCGAGTGGGGGGGGGGGGGGGGGCATGATGGGGGGGGGGGGGGGGGGGGGGAAAGGTGGCATGTTCGTAGCCAACCAATAGGAGAACGCCATTCCAAAAAAAAAAAAAAGCAAACGGTGACAGAGACGAAAACTGATTAAGAGATGAGGGATGACGCTCGTAACTGTATGATAAATGTGGCGCACTTACAGTAAAAGCAGTCATTTACTACCCATCATGATTATCATGCCATACTTTAGATAAATACCACCACCACCGCCAAAACACACGATACATAGTACCATCTATCGGCGAAAAATAGTATAATTATCATTACTATCTATCATCATCAACAATTATTCTATTTTTTAGAAAACATATCAACAACCACCACTAAATGAGAAATGGAAATTTATTAGGAAGGCCTGGCTCATCAATTAATAACCCTCCCGGCGGTTTCGCCAGTTTAAATCTAACATAATAACCGGAAGGGTTCACCAATGATGAGCCAAGTCCTCATAATATTAGTTATCATTCGTTTAGTGATTTTCTTATTTATTTTTTTTTTTATCAAATAGCGTTAATATATAATATCAAAATAACAAATTCTTCATTTTCCTTTTTTTTTCACCTCTCTGACATGTACTTTCGTGTGTGTCAAAAAAAAAAAAACTTGTCTATTGATATAAAATAATAATAATAATAATAATACAAATGTGAAATTGTCGTGGGATCAGGTTGATGAATTTAAAAAAAAAAGGATGAATATTTTGGAATAATATTTTTAAAAGAATAGTCGGTGGAGACAAGTAGGTAACACCCTCGATTCCCGACAGTCATGAACTGGGATTGAATCCTGCATTAATATTTTGTTTAATATGTAAATAACCTTCACTTATTATTCATTGGTGCAAATATCATAAACTATATTGCTCTTTTTGAACGGTACCTAATAAAGTGATTTTGGAACAGAATTTTAAAAAGCAACAATTAGTTGATTTTTCCCCCGACAGATGGCGCAAACTATCAGCAATTTTAAGTTTGCATGATCAAAAGATACCTTTTTTTGTTCTTAATTTGGCCATCTCGGTGTCTAACGTTATTTATAAAAATGTATATAGTTCGTTTTTTATGCAGGAAATGTTTTTTTTTTTCTATATATGCTCCATAATTGTACATGATTATGCCAACAATGGTTGTAATTATTATTCAATTTTCATCCTAACAATAGGTCCATTGTGCACTACTTGTTAGTCTGTAAAGTTGCATAGATAGACATGGTATAAAAACACTTAAGTATCATTGTTAGAAATATCTTCTTTTTTATTCTTAAATAGTTTAATTTGTGGAAGGTAGATGGTATAGGTACATGGCCAATAGAAAAGACAGAGGAAAGATTATTGGAAGAATTTGAAATGTGGATATTGTTGCATCAAGTTGCAGCTTTGGAGGGTCGTCGACCTTGGTTTCTTCCTTCTTGGTGTTATACACGTTTCCCGAGCGGGTTTCCATATTCAAAGCAAATAAATAAAAGTAAATAAAAATAAATTACATTTAAAAGTTATTGCGTTTATTTATTCGTGGTCTTCCTCGTAGGTCGTGATCCGCAGTCTTAGCCCTCTCTCGCTCCAATAACCAATCAAGATATATGTACAATAACAATATTACAAAAGGAATGAAACTATAAAAAGGAATGATGATAATCTAAATATTCTGTTTTAAATAAATATTAAATATCATAGAATATTTTGAATAAATGTAGGGCGCATTAAAATTGATGTAATAATATATAGGAAAATGAGGAAAAATCGTATATTTTAATTCATTGTTTTTGATCTGGCAACACCGCGAAAACAGACGATACGCGTACTATGCCTTTTTTTCGGTAAACATGTTTATTATGATGTATTAGCGCGCCATCTGTTATGATATTTCGAAACTATTATAGACACGTATGATTCTTTTAAACATTAAACAAGGGCAGTAGATATTGTTTAATTTATAAAAGAATCATACGCGTTTATAATAGTTTCAAAATTTCAAAACTGTTTATTATATTTTTCTTCGGGAGAGGTGCATCTTTTAGTACAATAATATATATACGATTTTTTTTTATTTATTGAGAATTCTCAAGGTGTGTACCACTGAATATCAAATATTTAAAAACAAGGTAATAAGACCAAATAAATAAATAGTGTAGTCTTACATCTCATGTCTTACACACTATTTATTCATTTAGATTTGGTCATATTACCTTGTGTTTATAATCTATAATCCAAATTGTGTCTTATCAACACATGTCTTACACACTATTTATTCATTTAGATTTGGTCATATTACCATGTGTTTATAATCTATAATCCAAATTGTGCCTTATCATCAAATGTCTTACATACTATTTATTTATTTAGATTTGGTCTTATTACCTTGTGTTTATAATCTATAATCCAAATTGTGCCTTATCATTAAATGTCTTACACACTATTTATTTATTTGGATTTGGTCTTATTACCTTGTGTTTATAATCTATAATCCAAATTGTACCTTATCATCAAATGTTTTACACACTATTTATTTATTTGGATTTGGTCTTATTACCTTGTGTTTATAATCTATAATCCAAAAATTGTGCCTTATCATCAAATGTCTTACACACTATTTATTTATTTGGTCTTATTACCTTGTGTTTATAATCTATAATCCAAATTGTACCTTATCTTCAAATGTCTTACACATTATTTGTTTATTTGGATTTGGTCTTATTACCTTGTGTTTATAATCTATAATCCAAATTGTGCCTTATCATCAAATATTTAGGCTTAATATAAGAGAAAAATAGTTAAAATAATTGGTAAATAAACGTCAGACGATAGTCTACATAAACAGCTGTTTGCAACGTCCCAGTGACCGATATTTACATCCAGCCAGTGACGTCATTGTCGATCGAAAGGATGACGTCAGAGCGTGGGAGTTTCCTTTTTTAGGAGAGAAAGGGGGAGGCGGATATCTTAGGTAGGCTTAGCTTTAATCTTGTCCCCAGTGTGTGTCTAGTTTATTATGTACATAGAATGTGTCGTCTAGTGTAGACATAGTTACATAGTTTATATCAAGATATGTTAATATAATTCTAACATATTCTAATCTTATGTAGTGTCCAATTATCCGAATTTCAATTATCTGAATTTTTTTTAGACAATATGGGCAACCATAAGACATTTTTTTAGTTTCGAATTACACACACAAAGCTTTTATTAAGACACTAGCCGAATGACCCGGGCAACGCCCGTGTTTTACCCGATTGAATGTTTTGATTCAAATACTATTTGTTACAATTATAAATTGTGGTCATGTGGCCTAGTGGTCATGGCATCTTCCCGGTAAGCGGAAGGTCGTGGGTTCGATTCCCATCCCTTGAAACTTTTTCATTTTATCCATTCTGACCAAAATCTATCCGTGAACTTCACACAGACAGAATAAGGCAATTATATAAGTAGATCAGTCTTATACAGATTCTCTTCTCTCATTGCCGGCTTACAACAATATCCTCACGATGATCCATCACCATCATGTAGTTGAGGAGAAAACGATGAATTCAAGTTATTTTCCCTACTTACTGCTTTGTAAAAGTTATATAGGGACAGAGCAACCATTCGACTTGGCGCTGGTTAAAATACTTTGTACTGAGGTAAGTTGGCTGTCTTTTACTTTTGAGAAGAACATCTCTCTTTCTTCGCTAATATACTGACATTCAAAGATTTACCGAAATATTTCCATTCCTATTTTTTTCTTTGCAAAGATGCCATACTGTATCCCCTTCACTGAAGATTTTGATATGGTTTACCTGAAACGAATATAGTATTCTCTGTTGTGAAATATAGCGTTTTACTGGAAATGAAAGGTCGCAAAGTAAATAGCTTTCAGTCCAAATTGAACTATGTAAGTACATATGTTTCTAATTACTTACTTTTTTTTCTGTTTCTTCTTTATTTGGTTTATTTGTTTTGCATGGAAAAGAAGAGAGATCACAGAATGTACTCTGAAAATCTGGGTAGTTAAAATTTAAAAAACCTTACCTAGTAACTGAATATTGCCAATGATGACTTGCGATATCTATCATGAGCATCAAAGACTTTCCACTTTTTAAGTTTTGTTCATACGTGTATATATATTTGTATCAAAATACAATGAATATAATATGTAATCTAACAAATTCAACAATCACAATCCAGGGTTAAGTTTCTTTAACTATTTATTATTTCTCTAGCTTTATAAAGCCAACAACATATGTGTGTCCATAAGTATGACTTACAGCTAACTATACTCGCCGACGTGTATATATCGGGCGAGTATAGTTGGCTGGAAGTCATACTTCTAGTTCTCTTTTTTAAGGGCACACATATGTTGTTGGCTTTATATATATATATATATATATATATATATATATATAGTGTAGAAACTATATAACAAAATTATAACAGTGATTCTAATTTTAAAACTTAAGGAGCAAACTGATAATAATGATAACTTATATCAGTTAGATTTGATTAGATTAGCAAGCTAAATCTAAATTAATTATAATAATAAATAGTTATTTAATTTTATAGTCCAGTTTTGTATTAAGATTATCTTCACTATTATGATCATTTAAATTCAAATTATAAAATTTGTAAAATGTTATTAATTTGTAGATAGAGAGAGAAAAAAAAATCCTTTACTTCTACTACATCCTCAAGTTAATTATATATTTATAATTAATAACAATAAAAATTAACAAAGTAACGTCTATTACATCGGCTTTTACACGTCATTCAGACATACTCTAATCCTATATATAGAATAATCGAAGAGAGAATATATATAATAGTTAGAAAAAAGAGAGAAAGACAGAACCATGCACTTTTAATCAAACTAATAATAAGGAAAAAAAAAAAAAGAGTTTTATAAAGAAGGTAGATAAGATTGTTAGTATATATATATATATATTTTTTATGATTTTATATTTTATCCTTTTTTTTTTTAAAAGATTTTTAAAGGTTTTTTTATTTTATAATATGATTATAAATAGTTGTATTTAGTAATATATCTATAGTATGAATTAACATTTGTTATAAGTTTGGATATTATGTTTTGAAACCCTAATGGTAGACCAGACATACACAAAAGACTTTAAATTGAAATGAATTGGAAAAAGAGATCTGCTGGAACGGGGATCTTCAGATAAAAATTCCAGCGACATTTCACCCCTTGGTGAAATGTCGCTGGAATTTTTATCTGAAGATCCCCGTTCCAGCAGATCTCTTTTTCCAATTCATTTCAATTTAAAGTCTTTTGTGTATGTCTGGTCTACCATTAGGGTTTCAAAACATAATATCCAAACTTATAACAAATGTTAATTCATACTATAGATATATTACTAAATACAACTATTTATAATCATATTATAAAATAAAAAAAAACCTTTAAAAATCTTTTAAAAAAAAAGGATAAAATATAAAATTATAAAAATATATATATATATACTAACAATCTTATCTACCTTCTTTACAAAATTTTTTTTTTTCCTTATTATTAGTTTGATTAAAAGTGCATGGTTCTGTCTTTCTCTCTTTTTTCTAACTATTATATATATTCTCTCTTCGATTATTCTATATATAGGATTAGAGTATGTCTAAATGACGTGTAATAGCCGATGTAATAGACGTTACGTTGTTAATTTTTATTGTTATTAATTATAAATATATAATTAACTTGAGGATGTATTAGAAGTAAAGGATTTTTTTTTTCTCTCTCTATCTACAAATTAATAACATTTTACAAATTTTATAATTTGAATTTAAATGATCATAATAGTGAAGATAATCTTAATACAAAACTGGACTATAAAATTAAATAACTATTTATTATTATAATTAATTTAGATTTAGCTTGCTAATCTAATCAAATCTAATTGATATAAGTTATCATTATTATCAGTTTGCTCCTTAAGTTTTAAAATTAGAATCACTGTTATAATTTTGTTATATAGTTTCTACACTATATATATATATATATATATATATATATATATATATATATATATATATATATATATATATATATATAAATCTAGAGAAATAATAAATAGTCAAAGAAACCTAACCCTGGATTACTTGTTGATTCAGTTGAATTGTAAAGGCAAGGTTGAATATGTAATATGTAATTAGTTGAAATAAATTAATATTTAAAATACATTTTAAATGATAGAATTTTTATAATGAATAAATAGAGAGAAAGGAGAGGATGAATCAGAAACCTTGTTTCGGTTTTAAAACTCCGCATAACTTAGCCTGATTTGACAAGTGACCACTACCTTCAGGTGAGAGACCAGATTTTTACATGTTTTTAGACTATAGTCTTTCATGGGAGACTCACTCTACTGTAGTATTTTTTCTCTACTAATTGCTTGTCCTTCAAATAGTCTACGTCCCAATAAAAAAAAAAAGGCCGCTAAAATACAAAATTATTCGCTCAAAAACAGAGAAATTTATTTAAACTTAGATAGATCTTTATTTGTGTATTGTACAGAGCAAATTAAAACTAGAATAGACTTTGAAAAGTTATGCAAATAAATTGAAAAGTGCGCGTGTGTCACAGATGATCGTCTGCTATTTTAAACATCCAATAGGCGAACGAGAATAGAATCGTTTGAAAGCGGTTTCTTAAAATGGGTTTATTCCCTTTTTTAACCACGTGCTGAACTTGGTAATACATTGTGTCACAGAATATTTTGTTGACTGGTAAAATATTTTTTACACTTTATAAACCTAATTTCTATTTTTTATGTTATTTTTTAAATAAAAATAATATTTTTTAATTATATATAAAATATTTTTTTTAATGTTTAGTTCTCCGATAAAATATTGAAACGATATTAGAGATTTGAAATAAGCAAATTGTTTTCTCCCAAATAAAAAATCTAATTAATCTATTAATAAAATAATTCGAAAAAAAAGATATTATAAAAATATATAATAGTTAAAATATATTTAAAATAGCCACATCGCAAGCTAATTCATAATTTTAAAATACTTATTTTTCACAATGAATATTATAAAATATTCTATGTTGTAATAATTATAAATTTAATTTCAATCAATCGAAAAAATTGTAATAATTTGTTTATATAATAATATTCGATAATATGTAACATGAAAATCTGTTGATTTGCTTAGAATTTTTAAAGAAACTGATTCCAAGAATTAATAATTAAACATTATATTTATTGATTTACAAGAGAGAGAACAAAATATAAAAGGGAAACTAATATTAAAACAAAGGAACTTTTTTTGTTATGGTTAGCGCCTATTTACCTGTGAGCTTACACACACTCTGTGGTAACAATTAATTAATATATATATATACAACAAAATCAAATTGCTAAAAAAAAATTATTACAAATTTTAATCTATGCTAATTTTAAATAATAATTTTGAAAAACTGAAATATTTTCAAATCACAGAGTAATAAACAGTTAACAATTTGCTGAATGATTCAAAAACATATTAAAATATATAAATAAGCATTCTCTCTCTTTCATTTTATTTATTTTGTATTTAACCTTATATGAAAATGAAATATTTTCAAATCACAGAGTAATAAAGTGTTACCAATTTTGCCATATGATTCACCCCTATATTAAAAATATATTTAAAAATAAGCATTTTCTCTCTTTCTCTTTTTATTTATTTTGTATTTAACCTTATATAATCTTATATGAACATTGAAATAAAGTAGTTTCAATCTCTCTCTCTTTCTATGAATATACATATATAATTATTATAATATATCTTTTTCACGCGCCCAAACACATATATATTGTGACGAAGAAATATAATTTTTATTTATTATTTTATTTAATTATTCAGTGAAAATATTTGAAACAGATTTATTATTTTATTTTTGTAAAACCATCATTTAGTTACCTAGCTTGCTTGCTCGATATTCTCTAGCTGTAGATAGTTGGGTTAATTTGTTAATATTTGTCGACTAGTCGTGGTGACGTCATCAATAAATACTTTCATATCTTCAGATATACAGAGACTTGATTTCTACGCTACAATATGGTTTAAGTCAAAAGCCGATCCATTGAAAATATTTATATTAAAAAAGGGGCGTACAAGAATTTGTATAATAATAACTATCATAAACGCGTATGATTCTTTTATAAATTAAACAATATCTACTGCCGTTGTTTAATGTTTAAAAGAATCATACGTGTCTATAATAGTTTCGAAATTTCATAACAGATGGCGCGCTAATCTACTTATATAATTGCCTTATTCTGTCTATGTGAAGTTCACTGTTTGAAGTTCACGGATAGATTTTGGTCAGAATGGATAAAATAAAAAAAGTGTCAAGGGATGGGAATCGAACCCACGACCTTCCG